CACGCAGCTTCAAAAAAAAAAAAAATAAAAAAATAAGAAGAAATATACAAGGAAAATAGGTAAGAAAGAATAAAAGATCTACATATATATATATAAAACAAAATGGGGCAAAGGGAGCTGACTGAAATAAAAAAGTTTTGATCAAGTTTTTGGCAAGAAAAAAAAAGGGATTTTCAGACGCACACATACAGGGCAATGTTTTGTAAAGAGAGAGTGGTGTGGGGTGTGTGTTGAGTGTGTGGTGTGTGTTGGCTTGAATATGGGTAAACTTGCACGCTCGCAACCATTTCAAAACTGAATTAACTTTTGTTGCACTTTTGTGCAAAAAAAAAAAACAAAAAAATCTACATACTCGCATACGTTTTTTCCACTTTTTCCGGGTAAAAGTTTTTATGTAAATTGCTGCCACCCGGGGCCCAGGGTTAAGGATACGGTTACGGATAGGGATAGATTCACACGTCTCCTTGTTATCCTTCGACAGCTGAGGGAATGCCAAGGAGGCCGTGGTTAATTCCTGTCTGGGGAGCAGGAATTTAGTTTGCACAAATTTTCCATTTAAGGTTTCTTCTTTTTTTTTCCCAAATATCTGCCCCAAATTTATGGCTGTGGAAATCAGAGTCCTATAATATATAATGCCTTCTTTTTCGAGGACTCGGACATGTGTGACTCGATCCATTAACGATTATCCTTGTCTGGCACGCAACTCGCACATTTTCCGGACTCAACAAGTGTTGAGCGGGAGCACAGTGCGGTTCATGTTTATAAATCAAATTTGTGCACCCCCCCCACACAAAAAAAAAGAAAAATTAATCACAACTCATTCGCAGCTTGGTATGTGCGCACTGAGCCCTAAAGCCATTTGGCTTGAAGCATTCTTTGAAGGAAAATAGCAAAAAAAGAAGGAGCTGTAGGAATCGATTTAGTTTTTCACAATCTTGAATCCTTTACCTTAAAATTTTATATATATATATTTTAGCTTTTAATCTCTTAACATAGACATGCCACGGGGCGTATACTTGATGCAAAATTCTATTATTATTATTATTGATTTCAAGCAGATAAGCTGAGTTGTGACAGATTTCCTGTTCTGCGTCGTAAAAAAGTCAAACTAATGCTACAGTTTTGCTCTTCCCGCTTTTCCCGCGTTTTCTTTGACTTTTTCCTGCATATTCTCCTGCCTTTCCGTCGCTTTTCAGTGCCTTTTCTCTGTCTTTACCCATGCTTTTCCTCCCTTTTTTGTTTAACATCGCGTGTGTCTCCGCTCTGGTATCCCTAGGGGGATGGTGGGTGATGGTAGTGGTTCTAGTGCTTTTAGTGGTGACTCTCACGTCCCGGTTGACCCATAAATACGCACACGTACACGCCGCTGACCCCCAGTGACCCGGGCCAGTGCAGTGGACAAAATGATATGCTTCCATTTAATTGCCGTGCACTATAATCAGCAAAATGCGACAAACCGATGGCGGTTTCTCGCACGGCTAATGACAGGTGGCCGTCAGCGTTAATTGGCCAACGCCATGGGGGACACGATGGCCTCTATATATAGTTGGCCAAGATGCGGTTGGTGGCGGTAGAGTGGCAGTAGGTGTGAAGTCCGGGAGTGGCAGTTCCGCTAACGCACAGTTTTGTTTTGAAGGTTTTCAAGGGGAAAGCATTTTCTGTTTATTTTATTTGTGTCTTGAAAAAATGAACAAAAATTACCACTAAAATTTTATTTTAAGAGAATATCGATAAATATTGATTAAACCCCTCTGAAATGCTTATTTTTGAGCTCTTCTAGAGAGAGATAAATAAATGAATTAATAAATAATAGATAATTATGTAGTGTCATAACGCCATAAGTACAGTTTTCTTATAATTCTTTCAAGCTGCATTTAGTGCATTTTGTAAATATTTTTATAGCTTTATAAAATAGTTAAAAAATTGATTATTACAGGGTTTCATCGAAGGATTTTGCCATTGGGGCAATGCACTTGCCTTGCGAGGGAGGTTCGAAAGTGTCCTCAGACCCTGCCCCGTCCTCTCCCTGTGTCATTTTCATGAAAGTGCAGTGAAGTTGACTGGTTTCTGTGCAACAGCAGCAGCCGTGGCTGCTCATGTGCCCACCAGTCCACCCTGGTCCAATATTATTTACGCTCAATTAAGTTAGTGTGCACATTGCACTACTAGCCCCTTGTCAGCCAGCAGTCCTGGATTTATCTCTTTTCACAGACCCCTTTCAGCGACTCTTCAGACCGCTGTCACCCCTCCAGACCCCTTTTAGTCCCCCTATAAGTTTCTTTCTTTTTTTTTTGCCCTCTTCTGACCCTCTTCAGCTGGTTTTCTGCTCCCTTTTCTTCGTTTCGTTTCGACTGCATTTTTAATTTAAAACCTATTGAATGCAACAACTTGTCAAAATTAGTGTGACCGTGCCAACAAGTTAAGGCAGTGTCATAGAGTCTTAAGAAGATTTTATAATAAATATTAAAACTATATTTAATATTTATTTATTTCTGTATAATTTTTATAATAAATTATAATAAATTTTTTATAATAAAATATTAAGAAATCACCAACAACTAAATGTAGTGTCATAGGGCCATAAGTATTTTATTTATTTTATAATAATTATTATTATTATTTATTATATATTATTATTATACTATATATTCCGCTCTGATCAACATGTGCTCCCTCATTCAGATGACGCGGATTGTGGGGAATATATCCATTCAAAATAGTGGCCAAATACAAGGGTTAAGAGGGGGTTAAGGAGCCAAAGAGAGCGCCAGTCACGACCCATTAAGCAGCTATTGTTTCGAACTGGGCGAAGGGGAACGAGGCGGGGCAGGGGGTGGGGGCCTACAATAAAAGCCAAATAGCTAAGGCCGTCCCTGAAAAGTTAACGCTTGATTTCTGCACTAAAAACCAGAAGTTTGCCATTCTTTTGGGTCATTAGTTGGTAATTTATCAAAGTCATGAATTTATATTATACCCGGACCCAGAGAACAGAGCCCAGAGCCCAGAGGCAGCTGCAAAGTGCAGATGCAAACTTTTCAATGCGGCAGCTGTCATAAAAGCAAATGAGAAAAGGAAGAAGCCCCGGCGAATGTGCGGGCAAGTCGTGGGAAAACTCAGCGAAAGTTGGGGCCGGGGAAAGGCAATAAAATATGGAGAGTAATGCGACTCGATTTTGTCCTGTTTCAATTAGTCAAATTTCGTGGAGCGGCTGCTGAATAAAATTCTCGTGCAAAGTTAATAGTTTTTTTTTTACTTTTTAGAGCTAACAGTGCGAGATAATCTCTTATAAACTTGTATAAACCGTTTTAAACTCGTATAATTTTTTATAAAATAAATCGTTCTATTTTAACATTTTAGAGCTAATAGTGCGAGATCATGTGTTATAAATTAGTATAAACCGTCATAAACTTGTATAAATAGTTATAAACTATTATAAAATATTAATAAACCAAAGGAAAAATCCCACAGCTGCTGTCTTCTGTGCAGTTGATTCATAAAATCAAGCAGTTGTAAAATTTATATATTTTAAAAATCCTATAAAAGCATTTCAAGTGCCTTTTTCCCTCTGCTTTTTTGTGTGAGCCAGCTACTAAAAGTCCCCGATTTGAACGTGTACAAATGACAGGTAACCTGGCTGCTGGCCACTTCCCAGCTCCTGGCACCAGCTGGCTCTTAGCTCCTGACCTCCTGCTCCTGGCTCCATTCTGGACGCCTGTCCTGCTTTTGACAATGCAATTTGCGGCAGAAAGCAGATTGCAGATGCAGATGCAGATTGCTGCAACGAATTGCCAGCTGCAGCCCTCGACATTCATTACATTAGTTTTTGGGGTGCGCTTAGTTCTGGCTTCTCCGCGGTCTCCTCTCTATTCATTAAGGTTCCATTAGGTCGCAAAATTTGCGACAAATTAAGAGGACTTAAACTTAATGAGAGTTCTTTTTTGTAAAAGGGAAAGCTAAAAAGAGTTGATTGAGTACCAACTTGTATTTATGGTAGGTATACGTGGTGAGGCAGCCCTGAGCTCCGTTTTGATCTTGTATTTATGGGAAAAGATATTTATTAAAAAAAAAAAAAAAAATAAATAATTCAATAATTAAATAATTAAATAAATAATAAAATAAATTACAAAATAAATAATAAAATAAATTACAAAATAAATAATAAAATAAATTACAAAATAAATCTCGAATATTACGCATACGCACTGTGGCAATCGCCCTTAATCGCACATTACGTATACGCCGCGTGCAACAGGCCACAAAAGCCCTCCATAATGACTTTACGATACACAATGCCAAAGAGGCACTTTTCCCTTTTCTGATTTGGAGATGGAGATGTTGAAGTTAATGAAATGCGAATCACATTTGCTGATTGCGTCCTGCCAGGATGACAGGGCGATGACAATGAATCGGCATGTCAGCTCATAATATGTTTCCGCTTGCCTGATTCATTTAATTATGATTTCCGGTGTCGACAGGCACACACGTGCTCATTATTACAGCCACTTGATTGCTAGGTCCAAAACCGAAAAACCCTGAACACACGCCCAGTGAATGCCCTTTGAGAATAATAAATCATAAATACATTTCAAAATAAGAGAGTGGAACGAGGAAAGCGGAACTAAATCACCTATAAAATAGAAAGAAAATCATTTATTGTTTTTATATACATATATGCATTTTAAATGCATTTTCCAAGTGAGCACCCTGCCAGCTGTGACTGTCTGCGGTTAGGGTATAGTGCCTGGCGCCATTCATCAACTCGATAGGCAACAATTTCATGTCCTCCCATCCTTTGGGCAATTTGCTTGTATTAGAAACTCATTTCCGTTTGTAATTGAGTCGTGTGAGTCGCTACCGCCAGCCACCCAGCCAGCTGGTGCCCCTTATGTTCATGCAAATGAATGGCCATGTTTTTTGGGGCTGAAAAACAGGGTCTCCCCTTTGACGAATCGAAACCCGGCATAATTTTCATCTTTACCTTTCTCTCTTCCCATTTGCAGAACCCTCGCCGCTGTACGACAACAATCACTATCATGAGGAGTGTCTGCGCTGCAACTCCTGCGGTCTGAACCTGACTGGACCCAACCAAAAGCGGGCCAGGAGATTTAAGGTGAGTGACTACAGTCTACTATTATAATTATACCCCTGCAGGGGATTATAATTTGGGTTAGAAGGTGGTAAGGCAGTTAAGGAGTCATTTTCGACCCCATAAATCCTATATATTCTTGATTAGCAGCAACAGGAGAGTCAATTTAGCAAAAGAAAAACCCTTTTTTTTTAATTTGATAAGGGGTTAGTTAAAATTTTTCAAAATTTCAATTAAAATATCTTGTCTATGTTATTTTATTTAAGATTTATTAAAGCCAAAAATTATGGACAAAATGTTATAATTAATATCCGAATTTATGCTATTTTTTTTAGTACCCCAAAAACTATTAATTTTACCGTCTAATTAATGAGTGAGTGAAGCAGCTCAAAACGGCCTAAACAATGAGTGATTTGGTGGGTTTTTTCCCCCTCGTCAACTCATTTCAAATGCATTCGCTCATTTCGAGACCCATAAAGCCGGACTCATTACAGAGCGAACGACGTAAGGGAGAGGGAGACTCCATCTCCGGACAAGTGGCTTAACCAGAATTATATATGAAATGAGCAGGAGGCACAAAAAGTAGAACCGAATAAATCATTTACAAAGGAAAATATATTTATGAGCATAAAGTTATATAGCACTCGGGCAAAAAATATTAAAAACTTGAACGAATGAGTTTTATATATTCTATTCTATTCTATTCTATTCTATTTATAATCTTCTATAGCTTATACATATCGTATTTATTTATTTAATTTATTCTATATTAATTTTTATATATTTTACTTTATTTTTAATATATACAAAATATTCTATATTCTTCTATACCTTTTAAAATAATTTATATAGTATATATTTATTTTATTTTATATTTAATTTATATTTGTTGTATATATTTTACTTTATTTCAAATTTATAAAAAATATTTCCAAGTGTAACCCTCTTTCCCCCGTCATATTTTTGCAGAACCAGATCCTGTGCGACCTGCACTTCGCGGACGTGGCCCTGATGGAGTGCTCCGACTTTATGCAGCAGCTGCGTAGCTTCAAGCCACAATCGCTGGGCTGCGCGGTCGCCAGGCGGAAGAGCTCCACCACGCTGATATTCCCACTGCCGCCGCAAGCATGTTCAGGTATGTACCGCACTGTACTTGGCACATTGCGAGCGCCAAATCGGCCAAAGCTGCGGGTCTGTCAGGTGGATTTCCACCTGGTGAATACCCTGCTATCTAGGGAATTTTGTGGCTTTAATTTATAATCGATTTATAAATTTTCTGGTTAAGCTTAATATCGATATTTTCATATTTTCTTAATGTTCAAAGAAAAGCAAAATTTAATCAAAAAGTAAAAAGTAGTATAAAACTTTATTAGAACACATGATATGAATAAATTAATTATCGTTTCCTTTATCATATCGATAACTCCTTCGATAATAAATAATATATTGAATATCCTTATCAAGGATATTTCTCATTCGAATACGCAAGAACCAGAGTCGAAAAACCCTTCCATAAATTTCGTTTTTTTTCCCGTGCGAGTGTGTGTGTGCGTGGCGTCATCATTATAATTCAAATGAGATTTGCGCGCATACTCGCACACCCACACACTCACAGATGCAGGAAGAAAGATAGGGGGAAGGGGAAGCAAAGGGGAAGAACAAATAAAAGAGCGAAACGAACGAGATGGAGAGCGAGAGCCACGTCTACAAGTTGGAGAATGTTTGGCATTTTGCATAATAAAGTTGTTCAAACATATTTGACGTCGGGTTGCGCACTCACCCACACACACACACACACTCGCAGGCACATCGACACACACAAACATACAGGCTGATAGAACCGCCATTTTTCGCTGACATAAACTTTCAATTCGGTTTTCATTTTACTTTATTTCCTCTCTGTCTCTGTCTCTTTTTTATTTTTTATTCGCAGCGCTCGCAAACGATTTAATTAAAATCCCCCAAAAAAATAAAAATAAAAATAAAAAGAAAATTGAGGGGAAAAAATCCGGAACACGAAACACTTCTTAACATTCTTTATCAGTTTCCCCAAATATGAGCACAGTTATATTTACTTTTACCAGAGTATGTGTATATATAGTATTCGTTCGCACTCGGAATGCAAAGTTTATTAACTGGATTTTTATTACGAAAGTTTTTTGGGGCCAAGCCTGGGCTTTGGCGTCCATTTTAATTACAATAAGCGAATCAAGGCCATTTCGGCCAGTTAAATATTATTGCTTCTCTCTGAACGATTTCCTTCGAAGATGATGATGATGATGCTGTCAATATTTGTGTCCCGTTCTCAACTTGATTTCTTCGTCGATTTCATGCACAATTTGTTGCAAATACAAAATAGAGGCCCTAAAATTTTATTGTTAAATAACTCCGAGTTTAAAAATAAGGAGGGAGACAGAGAGAGAGAAAAAAACAGATAAGAAAGGGAGCTAAAATATGCGACTTCCCCAATTAAGTCTTGAATCTATATTTATCGATATCTTTATAATATTATATTTCTTTTGAAGGGAAAAAAACTATCAACATCTTTTTTTACTGAAAAATGATTTAAAAGAGCTAAAATATGCGAATCCCAGGGGCCTTGAATCGATATTTATCGATATCTTTATAATATAATATTTCTTTTAAAGCAAAAAACTATCAACAAAATTTTTTTCTGAAAAATGCTTTAAAGTAGATCCTAAATCGGTATCTTCCAAGGTTTGTCAATCGATGAATATCGATACTATTATAATATGATCATTTTTTAGACACAAAGTGTATAATTGATTAACTTAATTGCTGTTTAACTTAAAAGAAAGCCAACCGTTAATGACTGGCAAATAGTTTAGCCAAGAGACTGCCAAAAGCCGACTGCCTAGGAACTTGACACGCTTCCCATATCCGCTTCCACCTCTCGAGCTTCTGCTCTTGCTCCTGCTCCTATTCTACCTCTTTCTCCTGCTCCTGTTCTTCCTCCTACTCCTGCTCGTGTTCCTCCTCCTGCTTCTCCGCCTGTATTAACGCTCAGCTGCGCTCATTCGAAGCGACATTGAGTGCGCACTCGAGTAAAGTGATTCGATGCGTGTCACATTCGAGGGCGAGTGCTGCACTTGCTCTGCTTAGGAGCCACGCCTCCCTGGCCTCCTCAGCCACACAGTGACAAAAAAAAGTGGTTAAGATGAGCAAGAAAGACTCGAAAGTTCATGGTGGGAAAGTGGATTGAGAGGAGAAATGTCCGATATTGTAGCAAACAAATATATTAATGTCATATTTGATAATTTTAAAAAGAAAAAAATATCGCATTATATCGAATACAATGAAAACTATCTGAAACAATATTTTTTAATATATTTATTATATTTTAAAATTTATTTTTTATATTATTTAATTAATTTTTTTGGTTTAAATTGATTTCATATATCTCGAAACAATATTTATTAATTTATTTCTTTTATTTTTTAGATTATTTTGGACCCATTTATCAAACATAATATTGATTGAACACAGAAGACAACTTTAAATCCCAAATTTATTTTCTTACATTTTTTTCTCAATATTTTTATTTATTTTGATATATTATTATTATTGTTAACTTATTTATTTATTAATTATTATTTGTTTCACTTTTCCTATTGTAATTTATTATAATTTTTATTTGCATTTTTATATTATTATCAAAAAAAAAAAAATATATATAATAAACTATTATATTATATTATTTATATTTTATTATTATTTAGAGCCTTTGCTCACTCACAAAAACACTATTTAAAGTTGTCAAGTTCCCGAATTCTCAGCCTCAGCTCTGAATAATTCATTCGTGTTGGTGTTTTTATGGGTTTTCGTAATTGTTCCTGGTTGCCAATCAATAATGCCCAAAATGGGACAAGGGAGAGCGGGAAATAAATAAATAAATAATGCAGACACTGCCATAAATGAAAGGGAAATCCTTTGGCTAAGCCGCCTCCGAAAACAGCATTTAAAATAATATTTAATGAACAGAAACTGCAGCCAAAGTTATTATACCTTTTCTATTACTATTTCTCAGAGAGAGTGAGAGGAAAGGGGGTGGCAGGACATCAAATAGATAAAATACACTAAATAAATCATTTAGCTTTGCCGCGACGTTAAGTATACGCCACGTAGGTCACGCAGCACACGTTTATGGCCCGAAATTGCGCCAGCAGAGTTATAAACACGTATTATATGCCATCTTAGATCCATGTGTGTACGTGACAATTAAATTTATGAAATCCTATAGGATATGCGAAGGGCAAAGGCCGCCTCCGTATCCGAATCCGAAATCCGTTTCCCAGTTGAAAAGTCAGTTTAAGGGTCTCGAATTATCAGCCCTGCCGTGGGCGCGTGACTGTTGCCAGGATGCTGGGCAGGAAGTTAAGCCATTAGTGGAGCGTATGATATCCTTGAAGGACCACAAATCAACGGCTAGTTGCAACAATTTAAATATTTTAGATTAGACCGTAGCTTTAAGCTCATCCTGTTTGCCATAAAGATCCAATTTGAGGGTCCTGTCCCTGTCTATATATAGCTTCTATTATTCAGGGCTTTGTCATCTGCTGCTGCCTGGCCATAAATTTAGCCCATGAATACCACGCCCACCTGGCCGAGGCATTTACATTTTAATATGCATTATTAGCGCGATAATTGTTTGAGAATATAGCCCAAGAATAGATGATGGGGGAGAGCCGTAAAAAAGCAGCATTCAGCCTGTCCGCCCATCAATTTGTCACTCTGCCTTGCCACATTTCGGGGTATTGGCCACTCTCTCTATAGAGATATATATATAGCGTATATATAGATATTCTCCGCTGTCATAATAAATTCAAAAGCCCCGCAGAACAACAAAATTGTCGCGCACTTTTTACGTTCATTTGTCAGCGCGGTGGAGGTGGTGGTGGTGGGGCTCTCGTTCCACCATTTTTGTTGTGTGTTTCTTTTCTTTTTTGCAATATTTTAATATGTTCTAGCACGCATTTTTGTGTCTCATTTGTTTGGTGAAAAATGATTTTAATTTCGCCAGCGAGACAGCATTGTGTGGCTTTTAATAAATGGACTTGTAATAGCCATTAATGGTCCGGGTCTCTGCCGGAGTATTTTATGGCCAAGACGGGGACTCAGTTGAAGTGAGAAATTGCAGCGGGCTAGAGAATCGATTTATTGATATATAGTTAATTTTATTTTTAATTAATATTCAAAATAAGAAGAAAGACTTAAAAAATTCTCACATTAAAATGCTTTTTTTTAATTCCATTTTCGCCCGAAACCTGGAAAAATCTCAAACTCTTAACAAAAAAATATATAAAAATAATATAAATAAAAATTTATTTTAACAAGAAAGAAAGCTAACTTTGGCCAGCCAAAGTTTGTATACCCTTGCAGGTAACAATTAAAATATATAATAACTAAGCCAAAAATGCATTAATTTCGATTCGGAAAGCGGTTTTGTGTTAGTTTTTATAAGCCTAAAAAAATTGCACACCAAATTTAAAATTATAATAAATCAAAATTTGTGGCAATTTTTGCTAATTTTAATGATGTAAACCCTTATCAAATTTCGCAAAAGTGGCGTGTCTAGAAAGATTCGCATGTTTAATGCTGATCAAGAATATATATATATATATATATGGGGTCGGAAATGATTCCTTGACTTAGAAAAATATTATTTTGTATTATAAAATCTGATTTTTTATATTAAAAAACATCTTGATTTTTTTTTTAATTAAAAATATCCTAACTAGGCCAAAAGAGCATAAATGTTAAATCGGAAAACTGTTCTGTGCAAGATTTTCTACAGTTAATAAATCTGCATACTTCATTTTAAAATTTTGAAAATTCAATTTTTTATCAAAATCAAAAATTTTAATGATGTAACCCCTTATAAAACTTTTGCAAAAATGGCCAAAACATCGATTTCTTCCTGACATATCTAGAAAGATTCCCCTGTTGATGCTGATCAAGAATATATATACTTTATAGGGTCGGAAACGTCTCCTTCACTGCGTTGCCAACTTCTGACTGAAATTATAATACCCTGCAAGGGTATACAAATAAATATAAATATAATTCCCTTAGCTGGACAACATGGCGTATGCGCAATATTTGCAGGCCAGCCATCAAAGCCTTTGAAAGAAGCCTTCGAGGACAGGTCCGAGTGCATTTTTCTAATTGAAAAATTCAGTAAGAACGACTGGGGCCATAATCCAAAGGAATTAAAGCTTTTTGAACTTCCTATCACCTCCTCCCATCAGCCTTGAAGCGACACATAACCAGTAAGCCATAAATCGGAGTGAAACTTGAGCTCAAAACCAAGTATTCCTCCACTTTTTTTTTTTTTTAAACCCCAAATCAAATGAAAAATCAGAGAATTTATAAAGAAATAATACGAGACTCTTTAGTTTTCCCACTCATCCAGGGAAACCTTTAAAAAATAAAATCACAAGCTAAAACCTCATTCAATGCAGGCCCATGAAAATGTCTTGCAAAATCCCTCTCACTCGTCACTAATTAAAATGTGGCTTTCAGGTGTCCCAGGTGTCCGCCTACTTACCAGGTGTCCGCCTCCATAAATTCCTCTGTTGTCCATTCACAGAAATGCAATGCAATGTACATCAAATTAAATTTTGTTGGCCAGGGATAAAGGAACAAAAGGACACTCGCAAATAGATATGGCTGCGTTCTCCTTGCGGCTTCTAGAATATTTTGCAAAAAGGAAATTAAAACGAAGCTGAGATAGAAATTTCACAGACAATTAGAACAGAATAAAATATATAAAAAATATAAAATATATAAAATATATCTATATATATAAAAATCAATTGCTGTTCATTAGTCTCGCTAAAACTCGAGAATGGCTGAACGGATTTATCTTATCTTGGTCTTGAATTATTCGTGGAGGTCTAGGGAAGGTTTAAAAGGTGAGAAAAATTCGAATAATTGCCGGGAAAATCCTCAAAACAATATTTTTCTATTTCCCATACAAACGTTTTCTAAATAAAATGGAGAGTCAATTTGTAATTTATTACCGCTGTATAAAGTTCAAATTCGCATGCGCGTTGGAGGATCTAATATCGCGTTCCGAAACTCAACAAAAGTGAAAGTGAATCGCGAACGCGACAAAATTGCATAGTCTCACAGCTTCATATAGCTTCGAGAAAATTAATTTTAGCTAACTTCAGTTGTTAATCTGTCTTTTGTTTTTAATAAGACTATATAGAAATCGAAAGATAAATCTTAAGTTTTGTCACAAACGTTAAATTATAAATCTTAAGTTAAATTTCTGAACGCAATCATAATATTTGACATTAGATTTGACAACCAACTAATATGTCAATCCATCCTGTCTGTCGCTTTTCAGTCAGAATGGCAGTTTCGGCAGGACAAGGAGGAATCTTCTTTTTTATGCACTCCTCCGAAACGGCTTTACCGATTCTCATGAAATTTAGTGTGCTTATGCAGTTTGGTTCAACTTGAGAGATAGGATAGCTAAGATCTTTAACATCATGGCAGTTTCGGCAGGACAAGGAGGAATCTTATTTTTTTATGCACTCCTCCGAAACGGCTTTACCAATTCTCATGAAATTTAGTGCGCTTATGCAGTTTGGTTCAACTTGAGAGTTAGGATAGCTAATCATGGCAGTTTCGGCAGGACAAGGAGGAATCTTCTTTTTTTATGCACTCCTTCGAAACGGCTTTACCGATTCTCATGAAATTTAGTGTGCTTATGCAGTTTGGTTCAACTTGATAGATAGGATAGCTAAGATTTTTTACATCATGGCAGTTTCGGCAGGACAAGGAGGAATCTTATTTTTTTATGCACTCCTCCGAAACGGTTTTACCGATTCTCATGAAATTTAGTGTGCTTATGCAGTTTGGTTCAACTTGAGAGATAGGATAGCTAAGATCTTTTACATCATGGCAGTTTCGGCAGGACAAGGAGGAATCTTATTTTTTTATGCACTCCTCCGAAACGGTTTTACCGATTCTCATGAAATTTAGTGTGCTTATGCAGTTTGGTTCAACTTGAGAGATAGGATAGCTAAGATCTTTTACATCATGGCAGTTTCGGCAGGACAAGGAGGAATCTTATTTTTTTATGCACTCCTCCGAAACGGCTTTACCAATTCTCATGAAATTTAGTGCGCTTATGCAGTTTGGTTCAACTTGAGAGTTAGGATAGCTAATCATGGCAGTTTCGGCAGGACAAGGAGGAATCTTCTTTTTTATGCACTCCTTCGAAACGGCTTTACCGATTCTTATGGAATTTAGTGTGCTTATTTAACCAAATCTTTATGCTTTGCTCGGGCTATTTTGTTGATGAGTTTGCACCAAATTGGTTGAGCGGTTCTTCACGTATTACATATTTTGTAATATATTATTTCAATAAATCGCATTTCGTCAGAATGTCTTTTCTTTTATTGTCATTTGTCATTCATAATTATTGTTTTGTGTTTATAAGTGGTGAGTCTCTAAATTATCATTTGAAATACATTAAGAAGGTAAGATAATATTTTCAGCAAAATGCCACCGAAAAGATCGAATCTCAACAACGTAAGCAGCAGAGTGGCACGACGCAGACGTTTCGAAAGAGCTCATCAGTTGCCAGAACAAGTCAATACAAGAAATAGAGCTCAAAGAATTAGGACAGCAGAAGGTCGTGCACAAGAATCCCAGGAACAGCGTAGCGAACGTCTGCAGCAGAATATTACGAGAATCAGGGCGGCTCGAGATAGAAACATAGATATGTATAGTACGAGCACAAGTACGACAAAGGCAGCGGAACAGTCGCTCATTAGTTCGTACATCATTCGTTCGTCTTGCTTTTGAATATGCACCAGATATTAACTACTTTGCGCATTCAAAAATTGCTATCGGTGGAATGGACAAAGTATGTCAATATTGTCAGGCGTTTAAATTTCGGAATGAAACTGCCGGTATGTGCTGCGCAGCAGGAAAAGTCGTTTTGCAACCTCTACTTGCTCCGCCAGAACCTTTATTATCCCTTCTTGCTGGAAATTCAAATGACTCAAAATTATTTTTGCGTAAAATACGCAAATTTAATAGTTGCTTTCAAATGACGTCATTTGGGGCCACTAAAATTTGTGATCTTGCATCCGATGGACGTAATTTTGAAACTACATTCAAAATACAAGGCCAGATGTACCACAAAATTGGATTATTGATGCCTGATGATAATCCGAAATTTCTTTCAATTTATTTTATGGGCAATTGTGAAGAGCGCGTAACGACCCGATGCCAGTATCATTTTATTGAACAAGCAGAGGAAGCGGTTTAGGAGTCTATAGCGAACAAACATAGTGACAGGAGATTTTTATATATTAAGATTACTGTTGAAGGTTTAATATTTTATTTACTGACAACTCTGTAATATGCTCATTGTTTCCGTATTGTTTCCTACAAATAATATGCATGACAAAACAGTGTTTGCCGGGTCAACTATAATTAGTACGGGCCCAGCAAAGCGGGTCGGGTCTGCTAGTAAAATATATAAAATATATAAAATATATAAAATATATATATTGTTGTAAAAATATTGTTTTTATTGTTGTAGCAAAAAAACAAGGGTGAAATCTTTACATTTTCAGTACAAATCCAGCAATTCTGGGGTTTCATGTAACAGGCGATCAGAAAACAGCAGAAGGTGGATTTAATTTCGTGAAAACGATTATTTTCACTCAAATTACGATATTGCTTGTCAGCTACAGTCTTCGGTCTCCTGCTCTTTGTTTAGCAGTTACGGCCCTCGGGTATTTAGAGAGCCGAAATAAGTGCAACCATTATTTTCACTCAATGCCTATACTTCCACTCAATGTTTTCACTCTTTGCCACAGATCAGCTCATCTCAGCTCTCCCTCTCAATGTTCGAAAGTTATTCGAAATGAAGAGACGGACCATTTATGAGAGCAGGAGAACAACGATTACCATAACTCTTTAACTCAAATCTCTTTGAGAGCAACGATTAAAATATCTTTATCGTGGCTCTCAAGCTCTCATTAATTGCTTGTCTCTTCATTTCGAGTAGCTGGCGATCAGAGAGCGCGAGAGCTAATGAGTGGAAACAATGAGTAAGAGTATTTGTGTTGAGTGAAAACAATGGTTTGCACCAAAGTACATATATCATCCCCCTCTCCCCCATAAAAAATGCCATTTATGTGCACGAGTTACGCATATCTTTATTCACTCGCTCTCCTTTAATATTCCCCACATCTTATCGTAATAAATACACAGAGGAAAGGAATAGATAATTAATGGTGGCTAACTCTAGCCAGGAATATTCATAGCTTATCAATAAAATCCGTTGGGTGGGCGTGGGACTCCCTGGAGTCCCGCCCACTTAAGCCTCTTAAGAGAAAGAGAGAGAGGGAGAGTGCGGCTGGAAAAGCAATTAAAATACATATAGAGTAGTTGGGGTCACGTGGCTCCCGGCCAGCCCAGCTGACGGTGGACAGCCCGGACATTGCGCATGAGCTGCTTCTGGAAGCGCCGTATATTATCGTCCAGCTTCGGCGGCGGCTTCACCAGCGTCTCCAGGATGTCCACGTGGCGATAGTGCTGCATCTGGCCCATCTCTACGTCGACATGCTGCGGCCCGCAGGACTCCCGCCACTGGATGGCGAAGTGGTTGTGCATCACCGTGGAATAGGCGGTATTATGCAGACACTTGGCCGCCAGCGCCGGGTCCAAGTGCTCCGCCACCCGGGTCACATGGGCCAGCATGTAGAAGCAGGACTCCATTTTCGGATCCGGGGCCAGCTCCTTGGGGAAGTACACATTGCTGAAGCAGTAGCCACACCGAGCCGAACAGTTGACATCGGCGGCTTCGAGCTCCTCGAGGAGATCCGGCCAGGAGCGCTGGCGACCCAGCGGCATGATCACCTCGTCCACATCCATCACGGCCACGTAGTCGAACTCGTATAGGCTCCGGTACAGGCAGTCGTTGTAGAGCAGCACCTCGTTTAGCTGCCGGCACAGCTCCGTCTTGCCGTCGAACGTGGGCAGCATCTGGTAGGGACGCAGCTCCAGCAGCCCATCCTCGGGCCGGGTGTAGTAAGCCAAAGTTCTCGAGATATTCGGATGCAGCTGGCCAATGTCAAAGGCTCGTATTTTGCCCGCGCCCAGGAGACGCATCAGCTCCAGCCACTCCACCAGGCGCTCGGATATATCCACATCGGGAAATCGCAGATACTTGACGCAGATGCCCGTCCTCAGGCGGGGCTGAGCCTTGACCCTCTCCTCCTCCAGCACCGGCGGCTGGATAACCTTCAAAGCGTTCTGCGGCACGGCACAGCCGTTGCCAAAGACCAGGGCCACCAGCTGGGGCTGACGCGGCGACTGCATCTGGAAGGTGAGCAGTGTGGGAAAGGGCACACCCTCGCCCTGACCCCACTGGGGAAACCAGGCCAGCTTGGACTCGTGGAGCGGCACCAGCTCCGGCAGGGTCTCGCCCTCGAACCACATCTGGCAGTAGGTGGGCGGATGGTTATCTGTACAGGTGGTGATCATGGCCAGGATCACCAGTTCGGCCACTCTGGGCCGGCGATCGTAGTAGGCACCGTACAGGTAGTAGGTGAGATTCCCATGTTGCGTCTTCTGGAAGTGCGGACTGTGGAACTCCAGGTTCTCGTAGCGAGGATATGGGGCGCACTCGGGCCCATGGGCCCAGTTCTCGTCCTCGTTGCTGCGCAGCAGGGTTTCCAAATCTGGCTCTGGCTCTGGCCTGGACTCCAGTTTGGGTTCTAGCTTGGGTTCCAGCTTGGCTTCCAGCTTGAGCTCCTTGTCCTTTTCCTTATCCTTATCCTTGTGCCTTTCTAAATTAAGCTTCAGGAGATCCAGCTCCGCCCGCCATTTGCGGGTCTCCTCAAGGAGCGCTAAAAGAGGAGAGCCAGAGAGAGACTTTCGAGTGAACCAGGATATAGAGTTCTGCCCACCTTTGTGGTCATCCTGTAGCGGCGGTCCTGCCAGTCGGAAGAGCAGCACCAGGAACAGACTGCCCAGGACACAGACGCAGAGAGGTGCTCTCAGCGAGCGCAGCCAGACCATCATTGCGAATCGCCAGCAGGGCGAAAACTGAGCGAAAGCACTTTTCTGTTGAAACCTCTTAAACAAATTGCAATTCCGCTAAGTGCAGAGTTGCAGGAAAATACAAAACTATAGATGTATGAACAGTGGTTGTTCCAGGTAGTATCTCTCGGCACTAACAAGGCCGCAAGCAGATCTTATCAGGCAGGAAGACCTGACCCTTCTCTTTTTCTTTTCGGAGATAATTACCACCCATTGAAGTTGCTACTTTCTATTCGATTTTACACAGAATTATTGCCAAATCAATTAATTGAACATTGTAGCGAGTTATTCGTATCGGAGGCAGGTGCAAGCGGGCGATAAGGTGGGGCAGAAACAGGTGTAACTGTCGAGTGCCATCAGGTTATGGCTGATAACGGGGAGCTACGGCCTCAGGCCACAATTAAAATATCAACTGGAGATTATTTTTAATATTTTTGGTTTTGTTTAGATTTTTCACATTTTAAAAGACGAGTTTTTAGTGAAAAATAAACGTAAATAAGCAGGAGATAAATAAATAAAAATAAAATTAATGAATAATTTATTTTTCCATTAGAATATAATATAAAACTAAAAATAAAATAATAACAAAATAAAATAAAAAAAAGAAATAAATAAATAAATCAAAATAAATACAACAAAAGCCCTGCCTGCCTTCTAAAACAAAAACCAAATCCTCCGCTAACGCAAACTTTTCAGCCAGATTAAGCTGCTCAGGTATCGAGAAAAGTGGCCAAGGAAAAATGAGGAAAATCGGGAGGAAAAGTGGCCAAGGAAAATCGTGATAAATCTGGGGGGAGGGGGAAAAGTGGCCAAGGGAGGAGTTGGGGAAAGTGCGGGGAGCTTAACAAGCGGCAAACAAGCCCAGACCGATGGCAGGACACATTATTATTATGTACGTCAAGCTTGGACAAAGCCATTGGCCGTCGATATATGCTATATATATATGTATATATATATATGTATGTGCCACATACACACTTGGGTGTAAATATGTATTATATAGAGACACACATATCAAAAGGGACATGGAGGTGAAGCCTGCATTAAATTATTGATTCGATTTCGCGCGCGATTCGCTTTTATTGTAGCGAACTTTTTGTCTGAATGAATTGTAGCCCCTGGCCGGAAAGTTTGCGGCAGACACTCTGCCACACACACACTCACCTGTCTGTCAGTCTGTCACGTTGCCCTTCCAATTTCGCAGTGTGCGTGCGTGTGTGTGTGTTTGTAAGTGCCACACCCAGTAGCAGGAGCAGCATAACAATAACAACAAGAAAGGATGCTAACTTCGGCACGCTGAAGTTTGTATACCCTTGCAGATATTATTTTATTACATTTTAACTACGGTTCTGAGTTAGTTTTTATAAGGTTTATAAATCTGCATTCTTTATTGAAAATTTTTAAAAATTGCAAATTTTGTTGATGTTTGAAAATTTTAATGATGTAACCCCTTATCAATTTTGGGGAAAAATGGCTAAACATTTTTTTTGCTTCAAACATGGCTAAATCGATTCGGCTATTGATTCTGATCAAGAATATATATGACTTATAGGGTCGGAAATGATTCCTTCAATTCATTTTAAGCTCCCGACTGAAATTCTAATGCCCTCAAAGGGGTGTTAAAATGTAAATATTTATTTATAATATTATTGATATTTTTAAGAAAATTAAAACTTAAAAGTATCACAACTTGACCAAAAAAGGCATTCATATTCGGCAAGCTTTGTTGTGTTAGTTTTTATTTGCATAATAAAAATTTTGTAAATTGTTGACCATTTTAATGATAACTTCCTTAAACAACATTTTAAAATTGAGTAAAAATAGATCTTTTAAATTAAAGTAAATCCTAGAGCAAATATATTTTGATTTAATTATTTTTAATAATAACATAGTTAAGGTTTTCGTATTATTATTTTATTGACAGCTCTAAATTGAGCCCAAAAAATCTGCGAAAATACCTAAACCAACAACCAAATGTCCATTTAACCGAATAGCCCCACTTATTTCGCTCAGTGTACCCCAGTGCACGTATACATGTACAATGGCAAACAAGACATAATCAATCAGTTAACCCAAAAACGCACACCAAACGTTCGTTTCAATTAAAGTTTCGTTTTCATTCACTTAGCTGGGGTGAAAATGGACATAGAAGGAAGGGGAAAGGGGAAAGGAAAGTGGAAAATGTGGGGGGAAAAGCTAAGCAAAGTCGAGGAAAATAGGAAAACCAAAGGCAACCAAAATAGCAAAATCATTTAATGCACTGTGCGAATTTTCTTAGAAAGAGAGGGAAGGAGTCAGAGAAGGTTTAGTGATGTATTATTGCACGTTCCAATTTGTTATATTATTATTATTATTTATAAATATATATTATTTTTCTATCTGCTCCAGGCATGTCCTGGCTTCCTTTTACAATTTCAATTTAATTCCTTGGCACTCGTTTAATAAGTATGCAAACTGCACACTTTGTTTTGGTTTTTTGTCACATTTTCCACTTTTCCTATCACTTTCACTTGCATTTTAATGCCGAAATTGGGACACACAAAGACAATTGACAATTGCCTTTTGGTTTTTCTATATTTACCAGATTTTATAAGATTTTACAAGACGAATTTGTATGCTTCTTGGGTCTGTTGTTTGATTAAAAACGTATTTATTACGTGTGCAAGGGGAATTTTCTGCTCAAATTGTATTTTTTATTTAATTAAATTTTATTCCCAACTAAAATGTAATATTTGCTAATTGTTTGAGTTATTTTCTGACTTCTTTTGTCAAGTTTTGTGGAAAATATTACCACCTTTCTCTATTCTTTGACAGAAAATACATTTATAGTTCTTTTGGCGTTTGTTTTATAAACTATAATTTCCAAACTCAATTTCCTCAATTTATAGACATGTTTTTTTTACCAAGAATAATGGCAAAATAATTTTTTTGGCGCAACTTTCGTCGCACACACACAGCCACATAGAGGAAGTGGGTGGCATTTTCTCGAAGGAAACGGGGACAGTTGGTGGTTGCTTTACGACGGAACCTTTCAATTTCCGTTGGTCCTTTCTGCATTGCATACCATATTTTTATTCCTTTTTCTTTTTGAGGAAAATTCCTGGACTGTGGGGCATTTCCTTGCCTCCAAAATCACGGAATCTGTTGCGTATGCCGAGAGCCGACTGTTGCTGTAATTGAAGCAATGACGCAAGCGAAACTCGCTCGCAGCGCCATTTCAATGCCTTGTCCCCGCCCGCCGCTTTTCCACCCGACTTTCCCAGCGACTTGCCCTTAAAGATTACTCGCTTGAAAGTAATTTGTTTTCATACGACATGGCGGAAAAGTCTGTTCGCGACAAGGATAAGGAAAAGTGTAATGCAAAACGGCAGTCCCCTAAATGATGACGGGCATAGATTGGAATTGGGAGAGGAGCCCCGCGCCCTGTCCCCCCATTATCATCATCGACTGACAATCCTTTTTCCCAGACCCTGGATATATTTATGTATATATACAGAATATATATATGTACATTTATTCAGGTAGTGGGTGAAGGCCAAGGGCCAAGGCTCTCTCGCTCTCTTGGTGTTCCACACATTCAAATCACATTTTGGCGCACATTTAGCATAATTTAGCACTTCATTTGCAAAGCGGAAAAGCCGCGACAGCTGCCAGCGAGGGGGAGGGAAAAGTTTTTCGGGCCCAAGATATATGCCACTGACACTGGGCCTGGGCCGTGCAAAGTGATTATGATGCCCCGAGCGACATGTCACCAGACAGCAGCGAGTTCCACAGCCCAGAGATGTGAATACACTGGGAAAATAGAGTGTTTACAGTAGAATAAAGTCATTAGAAAAATTCAAAACAAAGGAAAACAGGCGATCAGAAAACAGCAGAAGGTGGATTTAATTTCGTGAAAACAATTATTTTCACTCACTGCACATCAGCTACGGTCTTCGCTCTCCTGCTCTTTGTTTACCAGTTACGGTCGTCGGGTATTTAGAGAGCCGAAATGAGTGCAACCATTATTTTCACTCAATGCCAATACTTCCACTCATTGTTTTCACTCTTCGCCACAGATCAGCTCATCTAAGCTCTCCCGCTCTGTGTTCGAAAGTTATTCGAAATGGAGAGAGTGACCATTTAAGAAAGCATGAGACTGACTCAATGGCTCTTTAGGAGCAACGATTAAAATAACTCAATATAATTATATAAACAAAATTTTAAATAAATAATAAAATAATTGCAAGGACTTTAGTGACCCCAATTTCTGTCTCTGCAACAAAATTCCTGCTGCGATGACACGAATCTCAGCATCAAACACACAAAAGACACACGATTTTCATGCGGTTGGCTGGCTTTTCCCTCTACCAATCCAGCCACCCTCTCAGTGGGAAAAATTCCCGGGAAAGTTTTCGGATCCACCTGAAATTGAATGATTAAATGTGTGATTTATGTTTCACTCATTGGTTTCACCTTCTTCCCTCTCGTTGCAGGTAAATTGAATGGAAATGTAAATGGCAATAGAAGTGGGAGCGTATAAATAATATTCCAAGGGGAGAGTGCCCCATGTCCAAGGGATAAGTACAGCCGCTAATCAAGTAGATAATATTATTTTGGCTTATTGCATCGTTATCATATTATTCGCCACTATGAAATTAAGACAATAACCGAAATTAATATAATACCCAAAGCCACAATCATCATACATATATTTCCTTAGGTTTTAAATAGAAAATTACTATTAATCTCTATAAAATTTAAGTGTTTAAATAATTCTAATATTTATAATATTTATTCCTAAAAAGAGGGAATTCCCAAGAGGCTGCATATATAATTACGAAAATGCTGCCACACTTCAGGCATCCTTAGGCCACTTGACTTGAAAAGCCCTCGACTTTTGGCTTTTATGTTTGGATTTCTCTTTTGATTTTGATTTTGGGTTTGCTTTTTGGGTTTGCTTTTGACTTTGTTTTGGGCCGCCATTTGCATTTTGGAACCTG